TATTTAATTTTTTATTAATTTAATTTAATTTTTAATTTTTAAAGTTGTCCACAAACTTTTGTCCACCCACTGTATTTTAAATAATAATAGCCCTATAAAAAAATGATTTTAAAAATAAGATTATTTTTATGACTTTCAAAAATATAACGAGTCACGAGAATATGTTTATCGATATCTTCGCTTTAAAATATTTTTTCGGTAATTTAATAATTTTATTCTTTGATAAATACAATTAATTACCATTTAATTCGAAAATCCAAAAAAAATTTTTTTTAAAGTTAGTCACTTAATAAGAAATATTTTTCTAAAAATTTGGTTACCACGTATCTCTAATACATTTGCCTATATTATAATATGGTTATGTTTTTTTATATTTCATCTAATAGAAAATAATAATAATAATAATACATATACGCGTATACTGTATATTACATTTGGTCTTTAATGCTTAATTGGGTTAAACAATTAAAAATTTATGAATTAAATTTGTAAAATCAGATGTGATTCTTCACGTCAACAGGATTTGAGAAGTGTATTCTATAAATTTTCACATTACTTAGAATAATCGATTAATCTTATTATTTACAAGCGCTTCAAACAAGGCATCAAAAAGTTTGTTAGAATGGAAAGTCAATATTTTACAGTACAAATTAAAAAAGGACAAAAGTGAATTCAAAAAAATAAAATAAGAAAAAAAAGTCTTATAGATACAAAAGGAAAGAGTTTCGGAAATTTCGTGTATGTATGGGAAATCAAAATTCTAGATCAAATGTGATTAAGAGGAAGCCAAGGTAATCTGAAGGAAATTAAAGTCTCCGTCTTCCTCAATTTTACTCTAAAAGATAAATGTCTATACAATTAAAACCAGCCATTAGTATGTTTACCACCATGGATTGATTCTATCACGCTGTCACTGGGCGTCTCCATTTCATTGTCGCCATCGGGAGAAAAAAAGAAATTCCCGCCTTCACCGGCGTCATCCTTTTCAGGATCCATTTCTTTATTGAAATCTATATCGTCGCTATAAGTTTTTTCGGAGGATAAGGAGGCGGAAGAGATCGATCGAGTGAAGGAAAGTTGTTCATTTGTGGTGGTGATGGTGGATGTTAACGGGGAGAATGCGACAGTTTGTATATTATTTTTATTGCTATTAAATTTAAGGGGTTTTGAGATATTTGAAGAAGAAAGCGAAGGTTGGGGCAAAGTAGAAGCCGATGTATTAGGAATATTGTTTGCTATATGGATATGGTATGCATCCTCGAAAGACAAGGGTGTCATTGCTGTAAGAATAAACAGCATTCATTAATGCAATAAATGCAATATTGTGAAACACATAAAAACATAAAGGCTTTTTAACTTACTCATCTCACCGGTTATTTGTTGAGAATACCCATTGGTAAATCCGTTAGACATACGATCTCTGGATTTTGTGCTAATTGCAGAAAGCGTCGGGCTAGAAGGTACAAAGTCAAGAGATGTACGCATTGCTGTTGACAGGTTTGCTAGAGATATATAAATGTGTGTGACAAAAATCATTGAGTTTTAATAAGATAACCCCAAAACATTTTATTTAATGTAAAGTCAATCCAAAATTCATACCGGATATATCTCCCATTCCTTTACCAATAGCCTTACCAGCAGGAACTAGGATGGCTTTACTAGTCTTACCATAGCCATTGATGTTTTCTTTATTATCAATCCATCCATCGATCTCTTGCCCTTCATCAACTAACTCAACCCTTTCCACAACATCCCTGCGTACTTCGATCTTTTTTGAGCGGGGAGTTTCTCCTTTAATTAAGGAATCCTTGTAGCCGGGCAAAAATGTTTGAAATGTGAACTGAGGAGTAGCCCATAATGGTGGAGGTAATGAAATTTTCGAACTGGTATGAGTTGCAATCTCTGCATTGGCTAACCACCTATTGCTTCCATCTCTGTTAACCGAAGTTTCTCCGTCAGAACTTTTATGCGATTCAATGACGTTTTTTACCTCGTCCCAGGAAGCACCACGCATGACTTGCCATTCAGCAATGTCTTCATAACTAGTCATCATATCCAATGAACCAGCCTCTTTTCTAACAGCACCGGTAATTCCACCAACCACGCCGGCTGCTCCACCCACCAGAACCCTACCCACGTTGGCAACGGCTGCAGCACTTCCAGATAATGGCGTACCGGCCACAGTAATTAGATTCTTATTGCTCGATTCTTCTTTTCCCTGTCGAGATGCTTGTTCGCCTACTACCACGCATTCCATCCAAATCCGATGTAATGTTAATATTCCGGAAGGATGAAAACTCCACATATCTTGCCAACCAATATCATCTTGTTTGAAATCTTGTTCCGCGTCAAGGCAGTCAGTTCGAGAAGAGTTGATTACACCGGAAATAGAGTTTTGTGACCACGACCGATTCCTTTGACGAGAGTTCATCCCCGAGTTTGAAGATCCAGTTGAATTTGTACCTTCACCATTGATAGGAGATGATCTCCTTTTGGCTTGCCTCCTGGCATACAGGTTTGGTACCAAAAGTCCATTGCTTGGATTTAACCCGTATTTGGAGACATTTGACCAAGAAGGAAGGAATTTAAGGCAGATTCCAGGAGACCTCCTTAAACAATTAATAGGATACGTAGGAAAAGATTGGTGTGGTTGACCATTCACTTGTTGTGAATAATAATTACTTGTGTTATTGTGATAATGTAATTGACTGGATCGACGTGACTGATCACTGGTCGTAGATGCATTATTCTCTGGAGGATAGGGATAATGATCATGCAGGTTAGGATATATATTTGATCCTTGTGATAAGGAAGCATCGTTT